GATTTTTTTTTCCAAGTTTGCAGATAAATTCAACCCCACTGAGGACTGTGAATATGCCTAATTTGAATTCCTGAACTTTCCTGCCATTTTCTTCTCATGCAACAGTGACAACGATCTGTTTTCCTCAGTCTGTGATGGCCCTTACTTCTGTGATTATTAAAAAGAAAATGTTATTGAGTGCTATGTGAAAGAGTCAATGTTTGCTGAATAAACAGTCTCTGAGGAAATCTGTTATGTTGCAAGTCATGAACAACAGACAAAGGTCAGCAGGACAATTATAGTCCTCACTGTAATGGGTCACTGGGGAAAAGAAAGAAAAGTAGGTGACCTGCATCTCACACTATGACTTGTGTGTGTCACTTCATGAGAGCCTAAAGATGCACAACATGGAAACAGAAGAACTTAAGCAGGGAGTAAACAGGGATAAGAAGTCAAAAGAAGGACAAAGCTGGAACAAATACATGATAGATCATTGGGAGAAATACTAGTGATAATACGGTTATAAAGGGAGAAGATTAATAGCTAATGTAGGAAATTGCAGCAAAACCAGAGGAAAGAATAAGAATGTGTTAACAGTTGAAAAAGATAACAAAATTGCATTCCCCACACAAAAGTGAGGTCACCAGGAAATAACTTCCAAAAAGTGTATCAAGTATTTTGCAGTAAGAGGAACAAAGTTACCACTTTCTCACATATAGTCTGTGTGTCAATACAAATACCAAAATAAACTAAAACAAATCAGAAGCTCTTTTCCTCCAGGTAAACTAGGACAGCCTAAGAGAGAACCTTATCAGTGTCACTTATAAAATTTTTCTATCAGGTATATTCTCTATAGTTCATGTTTTATCAAACAAAATCTGTTGTTTACTTTTGCATTTGGTAATGCCACAAACAATTTCATTCTTTTACTGATTGCCAACCTATAGAATGTTGTTGTTCAAACACAGGAAAAACCACTGTAAGCAGACTTGTCCTGCTTAATTTGATTAGGCAAATAGGGACATGTGCTGTAATACTCATAGAGGGATCACTTGTGCAGCTACATGTTCATCTATGTGCACTAAAACTAATGACACAGAAACAGAAACTGCCCTTTAACCTTTCTAGTGGGCAATCTAATTTTATTACAGAGCCTCCATACCCACTCCAGTACTGTGGCAACCATTATCAAGCTAGTAGAAAATCTGTCCTAATTAGCTCTAGACATGTATGAGTCACTAGCATCTGTCTGTAAAGAGGCTGCTTAGCAAAGTATTTATTGATATATTTTAATACATCAGAGTAATACCATTACTACTGTATGTACAGATACCTTGAACTGTTCTAAAGGCTGAAGGCTGCCCTGTGATACCTTATTTTGTTCCCAATAGGTATTTAGAAAAAGACTCTAATAAATTAGAGGGCAGAATGGCTATCAGAGAAAAAGAAAAACACTAAAACACTATAAAAATTGTTCTGTTATCTATGCTGACTCTGCATCTATGTCTATACTTCCCAGCACAATATTTTCACACTAGTCAAGCCTATTTACCTACTTTGCAAGTGTATTTAATTCTTGAAAAGTAAATATGAGTTCAAATATTTAAAATTCATATTAAGCCACAAAAGAAGTCTAAAAAGAGATACCACTACCAACAAACTGAACCTTACCTAAGTATTTAGCAGTCATTGCTCTAACAATCTGTCATCAAACAAGTGGCAAGGTCCAGCTGCTTCTGAATGAATCGAGGGCTAAGTCAGGTACTCAGGCTGGCAGGGCAGGAGCCACACCAGCCATGGCCCTGTCCCACTGCTCCTAGGCAAGAGACACAGATAGCAACCAGAACATGTAGAGAGTCCAGGTAAATTTGCAGTAACCAGGCAAATACAAAGTCTAACCAGACAATCAGTTTATTGGCCAACAAAGCTTATAGCTTAGGCACAACCTTAACAAACCTCAAAAAGGGACTGAACCCCAGGCCAGAGCTTAAATGGAGTTTCTGCACCCATGGGCAGAGGTGTGGGCAAAATCCACAGCTGGAGCTGATCAAGGTCATTAAGGAACACTGGCTCACTCAGAGCCCTGACAACAGTTTGGAACCAATACTAACGGATTGCTCACCCATGGCTAGCATCAATTAGCAGATACCTAAGGAAAAGGATAGCAAAAAGCTCAGATCACTTTTTCCTGGTTTACAAGGTACTCCTGTATCACTGGTTTTTTTCACTTAATTTCATTAGCTTAAGATTAAGCCCTGTTTAAGATACTTGACAAAAGCTGACAAATACTTTTCAAGTCTAGGGTTTTTTTCATCACTGAATCACAGAATCCTAGAGGTTGGAAGGGACCTAGAAAGATCATTTAGTCTGACCCCCCTGCCAGAGCAGGGTCACCCAGAGCACATCACACAGGAACTTGTCCAGGCGGGTTTTGAGTGTCTCCAGCAAAGGAGACTCCACAACCTCTCTGGGCAGCCTGTTCCGGTGCTCTGTCACTCTCACAGTAAAGTTCTTCCTGATATTCACATGGAACCTCCTATGCTCCAGTTTGCATCCATTGTTCTTTGTCCTATCACTGCTCATCACTGAAAAAAAAGCTTGGCTCCATTGTCCTGACACTCACCCTTTACATATTTGTAAACATTGATGAGGTCACCCCTCAGTCTCCTCCAAGTTAAAGACACCCTGCTCCCTCAGCCTTTCCTCATAAGGGAGATGTTCCACTCTCTTAATCACCTTTCTGGCTCTAACTTTGTGGAATCTGCTAAGATTGTTTAAATCTCCCATATCTACATTTTCCTGCAAAAGCACTATTTGCAGAAAAGCTTTTACTGTGCTTTAGTCTGGGATATATATATTTCCCTCTATTTTTTTCCTGATACCTTCTATATCTCTTATTCATGAAATGTTTCTGATATCTTTATACTTGAAACAGGAGGAAAAGATGGTACAGGCTTATCTCTGCATAAATTCCTCAGCTACACTTGTGGTCTAAGCAGTACAGACTACAGTCTCAACCAAATAAGAAGTCAGAAACATGTCAGAAAGAAAAGAATGAGTGACAGATTTCCATTGCACTCTTCTTAAGTTGCCACCTTCTGTTCTTGCATAGGGAGAGTAGGCTAAGAATACAGAATATAAAACTAGCTTAGGCTATTTTTGAGATATTTCTTTCAGCTGTTTTTGTTTGCACTACTACAAAGCCTTGGCAGGCAAGGAAAATAATATTTCAATAGCAGATTTCTTGCTTTGTTCTATATCTATTCCAAACCATGCAATTGTATTTGAACAGCCGGCCAGTAACATGCAACCATCGAATATGACAATGACATAGGATCACAGTGTGCTTTGAATAGGACTGAGGTTTCAAAGCTGAAGTAAACCCTCAGCTGTACACATTTTGGTCTTAGAGGTACATCTTCAGGTTTAAATTATACCATTTTATTTTTCTTGAATTGAGCTTTCTATTGGCAGCGACGAACAAACAAGTATTCTTATCAAAATAAAAAACTGGAACTGCTCTGAAGAAAAGAATTTCCTGTTGCTAGGGCTAGAACCAAAGGAGCTCAGTCTGGCCATGTGTCATTAACATGCTACATGTACTGTAAGAGTTTTGAAATTGTGTTCTGCTTTTTATACAAATTTGTAAAGAAGTTCAGGAGGGGAAAAAAAAACCTTGACCAGTATCCATACCTCCTATGGCCTCATCTACTTTGCAACTTTGTATCCAGGGATATACATAACATAAATCCCCAGCTACAATCTCCGGCCCAATGATGTTGTTCTGGTACATCACAAAGCTGCCAACCCCTAAAGTGAAGCTTGAGTTGACACTTATAACCTTCGTAAAACCAATCTTTACATTTAAATACTCTAAGAGATGTCAGGGCTACTACTTTTGTGTAGGAAATAACATTGACCTAAGCTAAGCTCTCAAGTGAAGTTCCTTGTAACTGCTAAAAAAACTATCATAATTAAATTATACTAATGTTCAGAGATTTTTATTCTCACACTGACTGAAATCTGCGAAGCATCTGTTCTCTAAAATGTCAGTGAAAAAGAAAAGGGTAAATGAATCAAGATACTGGAGAAAACTAAACTGTTACAGTGCACATCACTGCTAAAGAAGTGCTGAAGCAATTTATTGAACAATGATTTTTATAAAATGCATTTAGTGTAAGGCTTCTGATGTCTGTCTTGATGCAGGTTCCTTTTCCCTCTTGGTTCTACCCAGAAGATCAGCCTTCAGCAGCAACTGAACTGTAGCACTGGGATGGCTGACAGCCACCACAGTCTAACGTAGAAGCTAAAAACGCCCACAAACAAGCAACAGAACAAACAGGAGCAAGGACTAGCTTATTTTCATCAGCTGAACAATTTGCAAAACAACAAACGGAGCAGGCAGAGCCCTGACACGGCAGCGCGCCGGGATGTGAGTATCCCTGCAGCTGTCATGCGTCTTAAATCTGGGATTATTTTTTTTCACCCCGACCCCTTGCACTACTGGTTTGTAAAAACGCCGGGCTGCTGGAGGCTTTTCCCGACAGCTCCTTCCCCGCCCTCTCCAGGCAGCACCATTGCATTGATGAGATGCACGAAGGCACAAGCAAAAAAAACCAAAACAAACAAAAAAAAACCAACAAAAAAAAACCCTAAAAACGTATGTTTTCTACCCGGATCCCGCGGGGCGGTGGCGGGAGGGCGGCCCTAGCCCTTTAAGCTGCCCGCCCGGCCGGCAGGCTGTGGAGGCAGCTGCGGGCTATTTATACGCGGGAGGCGGCAGCGCTGAGCGTCCTGCGCGGGGCGGTCCCAGCGGCGGGGGCCGGGCCTGGATCCGCACCCGGGGCTGCCACGGGCACCGGTCTTCCACC